AAAAAAAAAAAAAAAAAAAAAAAAAAAAAAAAAAAAAAAAAAAAGAGAGGAGGGTCCAGAGAGGCCCTGGTGTGTCTGTGGGCCAAGATTAGAAGGAAACGGGCTCTTCACAGCTTCATTGTGAGAGGAGAAGGAAAAGGGCTGATCTTGATGTTTCTCAGTCTCCAGAATATCCACTTGATGGTCCACAACTGTTCGATGTAGGCTAAAGCAAAAAGTAGGGGTAAGGAGAGAAAGGAAGGAGCTGCCCCAGTTTGCACTGAAGGACTCCAGATAAAAGGAGTGGCTTTGTCTCAGCCTTTGCATAAACTTCCTGCTACTGTATGGCCACCACAACTTTATTCTAGTCTTTCCTAATAGAATTTAGCATGAAAAACAAAATCTGACCCATGCTATTCAGATTCAACAGAAATAATTTTTCCATTCTTCTTTTCAAGTTAATGGCACTCTTAGTGGCATTTGGTATTGACTTTATAATGATGCTCTTTCACCAGAATGGCATTTTGCCAGGCTCGCTCTAGGCTTTGTAAGATTTGTACTACGTGTCCTAATCCAGTAAGAAAAGACAATGACGTTGAGGGCTTTTTGTTTTTTAGTTTCTGGGGCTTGTTTAGCTTTAGAGAACAGAGGATAAGCCTTTCAGCCCTACTAGTTTTGAAAATAAAGGACAAACAGCGTATCTCATGATGTTGGTCTTCTGTGAAGCGAGAATAGATAATGTCTAGTAATGCACTCTCACTTCCTTGCAATAAAGCAGAGTTTAATGAAAGAAAAAGTCACAGCATTATCATGGACCTTTCCTTAATGAAAATTATTTCAAATCGTGAAAGCCAGGGCATACATCAAAGACATCGTTTTCATTTTGTTAGCAAATCATTCCTTAAAATATCATTTTCCATTTTTTTATGTAAATGTGATCTTTAGGGAGGAAAAAAAAATTCACTTTTCCATCAAGATGCATCAATGAATTAAAGCCATCAGCAAGAAAGTTCAAATTCATTCTAAAGATTTAAAGGTCAACCTGCAGACTTCAATACTTATTTTCTTCTGACATTCTGAAGACATGGTATTATCAAGCCAAATAATCAATTAAATAAACCGAGGAAATTGTATTCATCTTTTAAGTGAAGCAAAACAGTGAGGAGGAAAATTATGTAATTAATGTAGGACAACTAATCCTTAGCTGGTACACCATGGCTTAGATGACAGAATAAACACCAGGTCTCGAGGGAAGGGATTCCAGATAATCGTCCCCATCTCCCTCAACTAAGGACAACCAGAAGTTACTGTTGTTCAAGAACAGACCCCACAGGTCTCACTTCATAACTGCCTGAAACAGGATTATTTGACTCTGAAAAGTGCTGTGTCACAGTGATAAAACAGATTTCTGCACCCAGCATTCACACCCTACCTACTGAATGGGCTTCCGAAGCGAAGGAAGCAACGGCTGCCTTCGGGTCAGCTGAATTAACCCATATCCCATTCAGAGCCATCAGAGGGGCACACGCTCATCTACTTCACGTGCCAAAAGTGACCTGATGATACGAATTTCTGTAACTCCCTGCACTCCAGCCTCAGAGGCAACTTTCTCCTTCTAGAGAAACAGCACGCACTACGGTGCTAATCCTGTGAGCTTCACCCAGAGACCCAGCTGTAAAAACCACGTCAAAAGCACACATCAGATAAATGTGTCCTCTATAAAAGTGGCCCAGAATGAAGATTAGGCAAGAGAGCATCAAGGCTGAAGCTGCTTTTGAAAAGCCACCTAGTAGTGATTTCCATAGGCCTCCAAAACAAAACACAAGGGGAAAACACACCGAATCACCTTAACATCATTATTCTGTATCCGTACCCGCTGGCATTGTCTATGTCCTGAAATGTGTTCAGGTCTCCCTGAAGAAGAGGACGGTGTGAAAAAAGATCATAGATGAAGGTCTGCCGACAGGGATTGCAGGCACACAGATACAAGTGACAGCCTACCTGCACAGAGATCAGTCTGTGCATAATGCAGGGCCAGGGCAGAAAGTGACATTTAAAACCACCTCTCAACAAAATCTACCCTTCCCCAATTTTCCCCGAACAGAGTATGCAGAGAGCTTCACCAAGGACTTTCGACAGAAATTCCCACCTCTGCTGGTGACCCGATTTCTGTATTTCTGATTTCATTTCTCACTGCAAGCTTCCCCTCTCCAACTGAGCTGATGGGCTCATAACCCCTACCCGGAGCACAACCCCTTGAGAACCACTTGGGGAAAGCTGCTGCCGAAGAGCAAAATAATTAAATCGGACTAAATGTATATAAGCTGGTTAGAGAAATCAGGGCTGGTGAAAATGCCAGCAAAAAGGCTTGTAGGAAGAGGTTTTGCCTGTATTTAGATCAGTAAACGTAATCAGAGAATGGGCAAGATTTGGGGTACACAAAGCAAATGTTTTGTAGTTATAATGCCGGTCCTTTGCCACTGTCATTTGTCATTGTTTCCGACAGCATTTGCTGTACAAGACACTGAAAGGCCCCCAAAAGAGTGAGTGAATACCTCAGTGACCGTGCCAGTTACATCTTAAAAATAAGACTGCTGTAATGTGGCACAATCTTCAGAGAAAGGAAGGTGGATTTAATTCTTTCTCATTGCCTAAGGCCTTCAAAAATTAAGATATTTTGGAACTTGAGGAACTAAAGAAAAAATTTACAACTGTAGATAGTAAAAACTAGAATTTTTAATTGTAGAATAATAAAAGTTTGGCTGCTTGGAAGCGTGAATGGTAGTAACTTATTCAACAATGACTATGTTCATGCAACACTGATTTTAAGGGGAAATTTTTCCTCGAGTTAATCTTGTCTTCATAATCCATGGTTATCGATCATTTTAGCACAT